TCTCTGTCGGTGGCGCTGACTGTGCCCAGGTGCAGGCCGGGGCTGTTGTTCTCGCGGACGAACAGCGTGTAGGAGGTTTGGGTGAAGGTGGGGGCGTTGTCATTGACGTCGGAGACCAGCACCCTGATGGTGTGCTCGGTTTTGAGCCTGGGGGACCCCAAGTCAGTGACGGTGATGGTGACATTGTACTCAGCTCTACTTTCTCTGTCAAGGGCTCCCTCTGTCAGTAGAATGTAAAAGTTCCCTGCGGAGGGTTTCAGTAGGAAAGGTAGATCATCTTCAATGGAGCAAACCGTCTTTCCGTTTTCTCCAGAGTCTTTGTCTCTTACTCTAAAAACAGCCAGTATGGTCTCAGGAGCATTCTCAGCAACGTAGTTGGAAAGTGATGACATGATCAATTCAGGGGGGTTGTCATTGGTGTCCAGTACTTCGACCAAAATAGTACATTTCGCAGAAAGGCTCCCACCATCTATTGCTTTTACATTTATCTTGTAAGACTTTACTAGCTCGTAATCAAGCAACGCTTTCAGGATGATTTCCCCAGATGAAGGGTTGATTTGAAAGTTTGCTCTGATATCTTCGGAAGCATCAAAAAATGAATAGGACACTTCCCCATTGATCCCAGAGTCTGCATCTCCTGCAGAGACCTTAACAATTAAGGACCCTATGGGACTGCTCTCTTTAACCTGGGTCTCATACAGCACCTTCGCAAACTGGGGGGCATTGTCATTAACATCTATGACCATAATGCGTACAGTTGTGGTCCCAGACTTGGGTGGGGAGCCTCCATCCAGCGCCGTGAGAGTTAAAATCATCTCACGCTGCTCCTCCCAGTCCAATGCTTTGTCCAATACTAGCTCTGGGTATATTAATCCTTCTTCACTCTCAGTAATTTTAATATGAAAAAAGGGGCTGGGGTTGATGACATACTTTTGGATCCTGTTAAGTCCTCCATCTGGATCCTGTGCCCTTTCTAGTTGAAATGTTGTCCCTTTGGCTGTATTTTCTAGTATTTTTAAGACCATCTCTTTGTCCTGAAATACTGGTGAGTGGTCATTTATATCCTTGATTCTCAGCTCAGCACGGTGAATTTGAAAGGGGTTATCTAGTAAAATTTGGAAATATAGCATACAGGGCTCTAAGGAGCCACACAGCTTCTCCCGGTCCAGTTTCTCATTTGTGAACAAATCCCCAGTGTGAGAATCCAGGAGCAAGTGCTGTTTGTTATCATCAGAGACCACCCGAGCATCCCTTGCAGCAAGCTCCCCCTCCCCTAGCCCTAGATCCTTTGCCAAATTGGCCACAAAAGATCCTCTCTCTAATTCCTCTGTCACTGAATAAAGTCCAAACCCAGGTCCTGCCAGGGTTACGCCCCAAAAGAGAACAATAAACAGGACTTGCCTTTGTCTTGGGAAGCGCTGCCATTCTGCCTCCATGGCTTCTTAACACAGCTTCAGTCACAACCACATTCCCCAGAATAAAGAAAGAGCAGTTGCAAACTCCAGTCTCACGCCCGGTAGTTAGCAGGAATCTCGGGATTGCTCTCTGTCAGTCTGTCTCTCTCTGCTTCCCCCTTTGCCAATCCTTGGTCCTTTTTTCTCCCAAGCTGATCGTTTCGTGTCTTCCTTTTTTGGGTTAGGCACTTCCGCAGCATCCTGGGTCCGATTTTCCCTGTCTCTTTATCCTGCAGCGCCACCTCGTGGCCTTCGAACACTCAAATAACTACAGTCATTTTGTGCCTCTAGTATGCTTTTGTCTTCGTGCATACCCATAGCATTTTTCTTCAGATTCGTTTTTTCCCCATTTTCCTCCATTTGTTTTAAAAAAATGAGATAGAGGACTATTTTCACTGTTAATTTTAAATGTAAAAAACCTTGAAAGTTGAAAATAGTAACAATATTCACAGCACTGTTCGACTTTGCTCTGTACCAGGTCTTTAAACTCCTTATGGAGAACCCATGTAATGCCTTCAACATCTCGTTATGTTGCTTGAGCAGAATCATGGCATAATGCAGTAGAAAGTATTTAGGGAGCTCTCCCACCTTGCTCTTATAAAAACGTGCGCATATAACACGATTGTCTTTGTCAAAATCATTGCTTCTTGCTTCAGGCCGACTTGCCCCTTTCATAATGTGTAAGCTACGTGAGCACAGGGGCTATATTTTAGTCATATCTGTTGGCATCTTAGATGCTCATTTAATGCTTGCATATGTAAATAAATAACCTCCAGTAAATAGAACACCAAACAATAATTTTCGATTCCCTTTGGTCCCTATAATTTGAAAACTGTATTCTTATTTTAGAGCTCTTTATTCACTGCAATTTTTAAATTTTTTCTTCTTCTTTACAATATTTTCATGACATTAACCTTAAAATTACTTTCAGAGTTAAAGAAGTGGGTGACATTTACTTTAAGGCCTCTCTTAACTGGAATGTAGTGGGATTAATTACTAGATTCCCACTAGATGTAATCCACTTTGCAGTTAGTAAGAATACTAAGACTGATGCCTATCCCAACCCTTTTGAAAGTAAGGGTATAATTGTATTACCTGTTTCACATAACGTTTTATTAAAAAGGTTTAAGAGATATTAAAGACCTCTCTTTTCCACAGTAAGCAAGGGACACCAACTTAATTGAGAGATATAGTGGGAAAAACTAGATACCACCAAATAACACTTTACTTGTTGACGATTAAAGGTACACTCTACAAACCCCTATTTAGTGATTATTTGGGGGATATTTTATAACAGAAAGGTACTTGGTTATAGTCATGGAAACTTAACAGTTCTTTTTTCCCCATGCAGAATTAAAAGCATGAAATTGTTAAAGATTTTCATGATGCTAAAGAATGCCAAACATTGCTTTTCCCCACTTCCAATGTTACACATACTCAAAAAGCCTTACCACGATGTTTCCTATTTTCAGATAAGGATAATATTTATTTATAACACTGCTTATCATAGAAACATACTTCAAGTAAGTAGATATTACTAAAGCGACAATAAAACTTAGTTTTAAAATGACAGTTCATAAAGTGTTATTGTAAAAATCAAGGATGATAAACTATGATACCAGTTTTGAAAGCACAGAAGACAGAAATATCAAATCTCAAATATAAGTAGTACATGCCAGGGATTATTTTGAAAACTGAAGAAGTTCTAGGAAAAGGTGAATAGCATGAGTAATATAGAGAAGATGGACACAACATAAAAGAAACATATACATAAAGTATACAAATGGGAAGAAAATTATAATCATCAACTTTGACCATAAAAGCAATATCATTGATTAGGATCCCAGAGAGAAACATCTCCTTACCTAAATATGAGGAAAAGGATAATCTTAAACATAATGTTGGGAATTGAAAATTAAAATAGAGAAAATAAAATAATATCTTATTGGTGGTTATGGAGGAAATATTAAAGAAATATATGTCTTCATTAGAGGTCAGTCAATAATTAAATATAAAGTTTATTCCTCTTTTACTAGTAGTGCCCTGGGGGAGAAAAGGCTGAAATAATCGGCTTTAGGAACTTGAACTCACTGGTCCCAGACCCTTCGGGCAGACACACCTCATACTGGTAGTTCTGTGATAGAGTTCCTGTGCCACTCACGTCCACCAAGTGGCTTGGAAAGCGGCCCTCAGGCACCGAACAGCGACCCTCCCAGGCGGCTCTTCTCCTGCACAGTCTCAGGGCCACAAACAGGAGCACAGAGCAGAGGAAGAGCGAAGACACCGAGGCCAACGCAATGACCAGGTAGACCGTGAGCCCGTCGGCCTGCGCCTGGTCGCGGGCGCCCTCGGGCCGCGCCA